AGTTTTCGGCATTCTCGCTTCATGTGCCCTTTCTCATGGCAATAATAGCACTCAATGTCTTTCTTTGAAAAAGAACCATCTTTTGATTTGTCACGGCTTTGATCACGACCATGAGGAGTCTTACTCCTCTCCCTTGTTTTGCTTCGACCTCTCACAACGAATGCTTCCGAATGAGAGGAACCCGCTGATTTTCTTCTAGTTTCTTCATTCAACAGGCTACTAGTGACTTGGCCCATTGTGACAACTCCATCAGTTGCCGAATTACTAACTGTCACAACCAAAGTCTCCCAACTTTCGGGCAAAGAACTAAGTAGCATCAAAGCCTGCAACTCATCATCAAAAATAATTTTCATAGAAGCAAGTTGGTTAACAATACTTTTTATTTCATTCAGATGTTCTGGAATAGGGCTGCCCTCCTTATATTTTAAATTAACCAACTTACGAAACATAAATGCTTTATTTGTGGCTAATTTCCCATCATAAAGGCCCTCTAATTTTTTCCATAAATCATGTGCCGAAGTTTCAATAGCAACATGATGAAACATATTGTCATCAATCCATTGACGGATAACACCAACAACTTTTCGATTAAGCCTATTCCATTCATCGTCTTTCATACCCTCGGGTTTGCCACTATCACCCTCAATAGGCCCATAGAAATCTTTACAAAATAATAGGGTAGCCGTGGCCCTCTCACCAGATGCATCAGATGAATATAATATATATATATATTAAATCTTGGATTTTGTAAACAAATCCTAATTGTTACTAAACTGAATTAGGTCTCCACAAATTAGATATAATATATTAAAATATATTATACCTAAACCAAGCCAAATTAATTTTTTTTTTCCAAAACCAATTGGGTCCCACACTCCAATAAGGAGGTATACCCAACAGTGAAATGTGTAGTGAGTTCTACATGGATAACATAATGCTTTAGACATGGAACAAACATGCATTATGGTCCTAAAATTTTCCATAAACTACAGACTACCTCGAGATGCATTATGGTTCAAAAATTTTTTGTTTTTGTTTTTGTTTTTGTTTTTGTTTTCAAAGAATAGGGAGTGAATTCACAGGAAGAAAAAAAAATCCTAAATGAAGACATAGAACTCAATACACGAATTTATAGAAAATTCAACTAAGAACTTCAACTAAATTTAGAAAACACCAACTTTACTAGCACGTCAACTAAGCCCTCAAAAAATCTTACACATACAAAAAATCATACCTGAAAGAAGTCAGCGAATCCTATACCAACACTTCAAACAACAAAATTATGAAATTGAACAAAAAAAATTAGCAAACTTGATACCAAACTCGAACAAGCGAACTAAATTACTCAATTACTCAAAGGGAGAAAAAGAGAAATCAAATTACCATTGAATAGCGGTATAGGTTGTGGCTGGAACAAAAGAAATCTAGGAAAGGAGAGCCAAATTTCACAGCAAAATCATGAAATTGAACAAAGACATGAACAAATGTCAGCGATCTTGATACCAAACTTGATAGTTTCCTAAATGAAGGCATGAAACTCAATACACCAAATAAACTCCAAATTCAAAATCCAAATTCATAAAATTTATAGAAACAGAGCATTTCAACTAAGCCCTCAACTTCATAGTAAAACAATCCAATCCCAAAATAGCAAAACAACAAAATCATGAAATTGAACAGTGGTACCAAATTCGAACAGCAAAATCATGAAACTCAACGGTTATGAAATTACCTTTGAACAACGGTACAACAATGATGTGGTTGTGGCTGGAATAAAGAAATTTGGGAAACGAGAGCCAAATTTCACAGCAAAATCATGAAATTGAACAAAGACATGAACAAGAAAAATCATAAACGTACAAATGTCAGCAATCTTGATACTAAACTTGATGGTTTCCTAAATGAAAACATTAAACTAAATACACTAAATAAACTCCAAATTCAGAAAATTTATAGAAACAGAGCACTTCAACTAAGCCCTCAATTTCATAGTAAAACAACAAAATCATGAAATTGAACAGTAGTACCAAATTCGAACAGCAAAATCATGAAACTCGATGATTTCCTCAATACACCAAATAAACTCCAAAACAGAACCCTAAAATAACAAAACATCTAAGATCCTTTCAAGATTTTTAACAAAACAGAACCAGCAAAGAAACAAATTAATTGGCAATAACCCTCAATTAAAATATAACTAGCCTAATGTTTACCCCAATCTATCAAACATCTAGATTTTTAACAATACCCTAAAATAACCAAAACACTGAAGTGGGAAAAAAACACTTACCTTGAGAGCCGAGTTCGAGAGCAATGAGTGGGAGGGTTGCGACTTGAAGCCATTGAAACAATTAAAGAACAGACACAGCCCGACAGAGAGAGAATGGAAGAGGGGGGAGAGGACTTACCTTGCGAGCCGAGTTCGAGAGCAGCGAATGAGAGGGTTGCGACTTGAAGCCATTGAAAAAATTAAAAAATAGACACAGCCCGAGTGAGAGAAGGAGAGAGAGGGGAGAGACAGAAATCGAGTGAGAGAGAAGGGGGAGACAGAGAGGGAGGGTAGGAAAAGAGAAGAATAGAGAGGGAGAGAGATAAAAGAGGAAATGAAAGGGAGACGTGAGTAGGTAGGAGAGATGTTTGAGCGGGAACCATTATTGATATGCACCCTCAATATATTTTTAAGATTCATCTCAGCCATTCAAAAGAAACATATCTCTTATACATTTTATATATGGGCAATGATGGAGACCACTAAAAGTGGTACTCTAAAACAACTATTAATAATGTAGCATTCACCTTTTTTTTTAAAAAAAAAAAAAAAAAAAAAATAACACTCTGACAGTGAGTAGGACCTACTATCACATCATTAATGGTGGTACTAATTAGTGCTCGCACTCATTTTCCTTTATGTATTTTCAAAAGCTGTTCTGTTTTATTACGTAGATATATTTTTTAAATTTTGTTTTTATATCTTATTCTGAAAAAACAGAAACATCCTTATTTTGAAGAGAAAAATGTTTGGGAGCACTAATTAGTGCTGCCACTAATTAGGTGGCAGTGGGTCCCGCCATTAATGATATGATGTTTTAGTGTTGGAGATATGTTTTTTTTTTTTTTTTAAAACTTTTTTAATGTATTAGTGCTATTGGTGGTGATATTTTTAGTGGATAAATCATTGTTGTTTTGAAGAAACCGATCGTCTCTCTCTCTCAACCCTAATTGTTCTCAACCGATCGAATCAACAATGATTCAACTCAGTAATTTCGATTCATCTCAGAGAGGGAGTGAGAGATTCATCTTAGAGCAATTTCGATTTTGATTTCAAAATTCTCTTTTTCGATTTCGAAGCTCTGTCTCTTTCGATTTCGAAGCTCCACCGCCACCGTTATCATCTGCACCGGCGAGAGCGAGCACCATCGTTTACTAAGGTGTGCACCACTGTCTACAATCTCAGTTTTGTATTCTCTTCCTTCCCGTCGATTCTTCTCCTAGGGTTTACATTCTTGAATATTCTCCTAGGGTTTTCAATCAACCATCTCTAATAATCTGCTCAACATAGGTACAATGTTGATTTGGTTATAAGGATCGAAAATTAGGTACAAAGTTTTAGGGTGTATGTTCTCAACACAGTTTATTTGTTATTGTTTTGTGAATTGATGTGGCTTGTTTGTTGTAATTCATTGTTTGTATTTGATGGTCAATAAATAGAATTGATTTATTTAAGCATTATTTTCATATGTTTTACTGACGTCCTGTCTAATTGAATATGCCAAAGAAATGTTTCTATATGCTGAAAAGAGGTATGCACAATGACTACAAATTTCACTTGCAATTTTCAATGCTATAACCATTATTTCTCCTTTTTTGTAACAATCAAATAGATTGGAACAAACTGGGATGGCTTTTGGAGCTGATATGACGATTGTTGTTGTGCATTTTGAATATTTTTAGTTTTCACGTTGTGATTCATTGTGCATGAATGCATGTAAAAGTTTAGTTGTCCAGCTGCTGTTTTTGAATTGACATTTTCTGCATTTAGTTTTTTGCTGAATCTAAGCACTGTTAGAAAATTGAATTGTAATTTATGTCTTGACTTAATTCTTAATAGTATATTTAATAAACCGGCTTATTTTACAGTTCACTGTGTAATATCAGGTACTTCATGTTAATGCCATCTACCCTCTGCTTCCTGGGGAAGAACAGATCATTATTAGTAGTTTTAGTTGTTGTTCTTATTTTATTTATTTATTTATTCTTATCATTAGTGCTGTTATTTTGTTGTTAAACTGATTCTACGTCTATCTGCAGGAGTTTGGTCATCATGTTAGGTTGGCAACTCGTGTTAACTTCTCTACTTTTGTAAAGTCAGCTGGTATAGACTTCTACCCTTTCGGCGGTGATCCTCAGATTTTGGCAGGATGTAAGATGTCCTTGACTTGATACTTTTTCTTTTGCCCCATCTCTATTTAAAAACAGAATTGATTTTCTTCATATGTGTTAGTTTTCTGAGAATCACTTTCTAAGCCTCTCCTTTTGTTTTGCTTGGATCAATTATTATTTCTTTTCTGTTTGTTTGTCCTGTCATATATTTATCATATTGTTGACAGTTTCATAACTGGTGTTAAAATTGGGATAGCATGTGCAATCCCAAGATCTTTATTTTGGACGTACTAAGTTGTGCTTTTTTAATTATTTTATTTTTTCCTTTTCTAGTTCTCCCCTGCAATTATAGATATGGCCACGGACAATGGTTTAATTCCATCTGCACCAGGAGAATTATCTATATAGAGAAAGCAACTAAAGGCCATTATTGAATCTCTGTTACCGGCATGCACTGAACCAGATGTAGATACGGGTGAGCCTTTTAGAGCTCGGGCAATTATTGCAAATCCTCCTGCTTATGGTGAGTACCCGACAAATTGAATTTGTATTGCTCATTTACTTTGCATATGATATGCAACCTTTAACTGGTTGCACACCCAAACAGCTCCCTTACCTTAAAGACATCTCATATCAATTTTACATCTCACAATGTTATATGGAAAGATCCAATCATCTACGGCCAACCCAATTTCCAAATTTTGTCGGATTAACACTTCGTAGGAACTTGAAGTTAAAATTCCAAATTTCTATATCCTGAATTTGTAAAATTGGTGAGATTTTGTTTTCCCCCTGAACTTTCTACATTTTAATAAATTAATACAAATGAAGTAGAATAGTGACATATTTTCTGTCAATATTAGTATGAGTACTTAACGTAGGAAATTCCGCACCCCATCTTCAAAGAATGGTTATATCTTTTAGGGCTGAATAAGAAATCTGTGAAATCCGTAATCCGATCTAGTCCAATCCGGTAGGTTTGGATTGGTGTTTTGAATCCGCGGTTCTGTTCTGGATTGAAAAATTAAAAATCCGTAGTCCACGGATTGGTTCCGGATTGAACCCCACGGTTCCGGATTGGAACCAATCCGGACCGTATATAAATAGTTTATATTTTTATTATACACCATCCCGCATACTATCTTTTCTTATTTTATATAAAACTAAACTCAAACTTAAATTCACATAGTATCTTTTTTTATTACTTTTGTTTGTTATTTTTTAGTTTTAATTAGTAATGGTCTAAATACTTATGATGGAATTAGTTTTATTATGGTTGCTTAAATTCTAATAGTATGTCGCTATTATAGAAAGACATGTTGCTATTGTGGAACTAGTGCTATGTTTATGTTTTTATGAAATTAAAGTGTTATATATATTTTTTTGTTATTTAATTGTGTGAATCCGTGGTCCTAAATTGATCCAATCCGTGTTTAAATGGATTGGTTTGGATTGGTTCTATGATTTAAACGGATTGGATTGGTTTCAATTTTTCAGAAACTGTAAATAATGGATTGGTCCTGGTTTTATCCCAATCCATCTGGACCATGCTCACCCCTAATATCTTTTCTGTGACTCCATGACAAGTTCCCTATTACCAAAGACAGGTGCTGATTTGTTTTCTTTTCTTATCAATTTTTTTTTTTGGAAGGGGTGGTTGGGGGACTACATCCGACACAAATCTATGATTAAAGTCAACATTACTCCTTCAATTGTATTCAATTTTATTTTTCTTCTTTACCTTAGTTCATATCCTCATGGTTTCAATTTTTGTCCATTTTTGTGTGTGCACGCGTGTGTGTATTAAAGTTCACTATCTTCTCGATAGAAGAAAAAAAAAATGTAGCTATCTAATTGTTGATAAAAAATTAGAAGAAAAAAAAAGAAACAGAAAAAGAAAAATTAAGTTTTGGTTTATATACTTCTTCTTGTTCAAAAAGATTGAAGCAAAAATATGATTCCAAAATACAGCAAATACAAACAAAGAAATAAAGTGGCACACCTGTCAGTGCCCTGCTTTCAATTAAAAGAGAGCGAATACTAGCAAACAAATAAATTGATACACCCGCCGGTGTCCTGCTATCAATTAAAAGAAAACAAATAAATAAATTGGCACACCAGCCAATGCCCTACTATCAATTAAAAGAAAGCAAATAAATAAATTGGCATGCCTGCCAGGGCCTTGATATAAATTGAAAGAAAGCAAAGAAATAAAGTGGCACACCCACCAGTGCCCTACTATCAATTATAGGAAATAAAATACAAGTAAATAAATAAGTTGGCACACCCGCCAGTGCCTTGCTATCAATTAGAAAGCAAACCAACACACATAAGTTAGCACCCCCGTCAGTGCTACTGCTAGGAGGGAGGGAGGTATACCTTTACTTCTATTTAAATATGGTGAAATTGAGGACTTGCAACAAAAGAAAATAGAACATGAAAATGAGTTAGAAAATAAGACAATGCTTTAGGAAATTTAAGATTATGGGGACAAAGGGTATAATATATTACGACGAATGTCATTTTGCACATTTCCTTTCACATTAACAAACCATCTACACAAACACACAAATATAATCATTTAGCTCTTGAAGTAATACATTTACTTTCATCATATATTGTAAAACTGCATATAAATCCAATCCAAGATTACTTTGAGTTACAAATTTTCTATAGATTGAATATAAACAGATTATTTATTATTTTTAAAATATATAATCCACAATCATTGCCACTGGATCCGCAATTACATTAAAGTCCCCATGTTTCGAAAAATATGTTTTAAGCTTTAACTAGGGCTAAGAAAATAGACCATAACCTCTTCCAATTCCTAGAATAGAAAGCAGATTTTCTGTTGGGGAATGACCATGGTATATGAATCCAACTGTCTTTGTATTTTTGTTAAAACACACACACACACACACACACAAAAACTGTCTTTGTATTTTTGCGTCATTTTTGGTTTTAGACCAAGAAATAAACAAAACATTATTAGCACTACGAATTGCGGAGCTCTTTTCGTTGATAAGGTTTTCAAAAGGGCATGGTTGGAAAATAAAACGAGTAATGCCATGTAAATATAAAATTCATACATAAAATTTATTCTGAATGATATGATTGCTCAAGCATGTTGTTTTCGTATTGTTTTTGTGACAAATTCTATACAACAATTATGTTTAAATGTGTGCATTTGATAATTGAAAATGGAAGATCCAAAGTCTCCCCCATGTAAAATTGCACTTGTAAACCCTGCACAACCCAGATTATAGCCAAGATTATTGCACCTCTAAAGTCTTTAAACAAACTTAACTACTAAAAGAATTTCCCACTTATGCTTGATTTCATGAAATGAACAAAATGTGCATGTTTTGTTAGGGTTGTATGCCTAATGGGTGATCATAGTTTGTGCCACCAGGTAAGTATTGTTAACCAAAGGAAAAAAACACTCAATATGGCTGTCTAATGTATGTAATTATGCACAAAAGAACACGCGACATAAATCACTCACTCACAAAAATATATTCAACATAACAATGTTTACAGTAAAATCATAAAATTCAAGCAAATTAAATAAATCCAAATCCTTGACAATGAAATTATTGACCAAGTACCTCAAGTAATACCATTGTCAGATTTTTTTTCAATGAAAATAATTTAAAACCATTACAGTTAAAAAGAAAACTCAAAAAAGGAACCAAATCTGTGCATGCATTACTTGCATATATCCAATGATTGGTTACAAAAGAAGAATGAAAAATAGTTTAAAGGTATTACATCTCACATAAACGTTGATTTATAGAAATGAATGTAGCAAATAAAAAATTAATGTGAAGCACAATGCTTTCCCCAACCAATGTGCTAGGTTTTGAATGGGCTAAAATTCAAAAAGTTTTGAAAAATAGGTTTTAAATTTTAACTAGGGCTAAAAAAATAGACCATAACCATTTCCAACTCCTAGAATAGAAAGCAAACTTCAAATGGGGAATGACCATATTATATGAACCCAACTGTCTTTGTATTTTCATTCCAAAAAAAACAAAAATTGTCTTAGTATTTTTGGGATATTTTTGGTTTTAGACCAAGAAATAAACAAAACATTATTAGCACTACGAATTGCGGAGCTCTTTTCGTTGATAAGGTTTTCAAAAGGGCACGGTTGGAAAATAAAACGAGTAATGCCATGTAAATATAAAATTCATACATAAAATTTATTCTGAATGATATGATTGCTCAAGCATGTTGTTTTCGTATTGTTTTTGTGACAAATTCTATATAACAATTATGTTTAAATGTGTGCATTTGATAATTGAAAATGGAAGATCCAAAGTCTCCCCCATGTAAAATTGCACTTGTAAACCCTGCACAACCCAGATTATAGCCAATATCATTGCACCTCTAAAGTCTTTAAACAAACTTAACTACTAAAAGAATTTCCCACTTATGCCTGATTTCATGAAATGAACAAAATGTGCATGTTTTTTTAGGGTTGTATGCCTAATGGGTGATCATAGTTTGTGCCACCAGGTAAGTATTGTTAACCAAAGGAAAAAAACACTCAATATGGCTGTCTAATGTATGTAATTATGCACAAAAGAACACGCGACATAAATCACTCACTCACAAAAATATATTCAACATAACAATGTTTACAGTAAAATCATAAAATTCAAGCAAATTAAATAAATCCAAATCCTTGACAATGAAATTATTGACCAAGTACCTCAAGTAATACCATTGTCAGATTTTTTTTCAATGAAAATAATTTAAAACCATTACAGTTAAAAAGAAAACTCAAAAGGAACCTAATCCGTGCATGCATTACTTGCATATATCCAATGATTGGTTACAAAAGAAGAATGAAAAATAGTTTAAAGTTATTACATCTCACATAAACATTGATTTATAGAAATGAATGTAGCAAATAAAAAATTAATGTGAAGCACAATGCTTTCCCCAACCAATGTGCTAGGTTTTGAATGAGCTAAAATTCAAAAAATTTCAGTAAGATATATTTGATCATTGCATACCCAAGATATATTTGATATATTTCAGTGAGTTAGATTTTAACCATTTTTGGTACCCAAAATCATTTGAAAGATCTCATGCTTAACACTAATTTACCAAAAAGATTTACTTATCTTCTTTCTAGTAAGTAAAAAGGGCAGCACATTCAAATTCCTCTCCAAATGCTCTTCACTAAAGTTTATTTTTGTTGATCCCAAAAAATAAAAAAATAAAAACTAATGCATTTTTACGAACATCTTAAATGCAATCAAAATTCAAAGAACAATTTGAAAAAGATATTTAAAATTCAATTTGGAATAGTTTCGAACAGTTTCTTATTCTTCGGATTATCTTAACTATGATTAAAAAATCATTTAGAGCAGTTTGGAACAGCTTAAATCCAATCAAATTCAAACATCTTAAACACTAGAGAGAAAAATAGTTCAAAATTGTTACCATTGGAAAAAACCCTTAAGTTGTAGTTTCACTAGCCTAATGTTCAAAATTCTAAGATGATATGAAGAATGAGACACAATTGGATAAAAATCAAAATGAATAGAGTTTTCCAAACAACAAAAAATGAAGGGTTAGTAAAAGTTATAGTAAATAGGTCATATGGGTTTCACCCCACAAACAATGAACTTGGAAGAAGTAAAAAATCAACAAGCAAAGAATTCACAAAATGGACCATTACACACACACACACACACACACACACACACACACACAGAGAGAGAGAGAGAGAGAGAGAGAGAACACTAGAAGATGCACAGACTTCAACTGCTTCTTATATTAACATAGGGTCAGAATAAGGCTCACAAAATGTACCAACATATGTACTATTAAGTTGCAGAAAATGGAGATGGAAGAGTTTCGACTTTGCGGGAAGGTCTTTTGAGTGGTGTCATAGGAGGGAGAGAAAATTGTCGGAGTCGCGTTGGGAGAAAAACGTTAGGGCTTTCTTAGAGGGGAGAAAGCAAGAGAGAAAGAAAAATAGAGAGAGAGAGAGAGAGAGAGAGAGAGAGAGAGAGAGAGAGGAGTTTTCAATCAGGACAACAACTGGTTTAGAAGGTTTCAAGTTTTTTCCATTAAATTATTCAATGGCTTAGATTAGTTTGTGAAGATTCAATAGTTAAGATACAAGGTGCACATGGTAACAGGACTTGTAAATCAAAAGTGACAAAATAGTGAAAAAAAATTCTTTATTTTTTGCAAGAAACATTTATATATATTATGCAAGAAATTGAAAAGCAACTTACCATGTTGCTATGGGTTGTACACTAAATTTAACAATCTTACATTTTCCAACATTATCAGTTATATCATGCTAAACAAAGAAGGCAAAAAAAAAAAATTTCAAAATTTTCCCTTTCTCACACTTTCCACTACTTCAATCCTAAAGTTTCACACTAATCTTTCATGGTTGCTAGGAAAGCATTCACGCTTAGAGGGAAGACAGTAATTCATGGATTATCTTAGCAACAATACACTTTGAAAAAAGTATGCGGAGCAAATTTATTTTATTAAACATAAGCTTCATGTCGACTGCTTTTTAGCTAAAATTAAAATCATGTACTTCATTTCTTTTAAGCTTTTCACACTTTTTTGTTGGTTGGAGTCTCTTCCCTGTTATCTTGTCAACTGCTCATGCTTAAACAATGATACAAGTGAAGTTAAAGCACTATTTGATTAGCATTTTTGGAAGTATTTTTATTGTATGTGAACTAATTTGGCTTATATATATATATATATATTTAAAAACCAATCAAACAAATAATTTACTTGAGATGGCTATCTAATTCAACTAGAACAAGAAGTACTAAATATTACCAAAAACACTTGGAATAATTATTTGCCCCAACTTACAAAATGGGAGGTCCCACCACAAGTATTAGTTGCTTCATGTGAATATCACTAAACATAAATTGGAATAGTTAATCATAAGTTTCGAACATCTAAATGCAATGAAAATATAGTTCCAAAATACATTTGTTTAAATTGCTAACGAACTAAGCATTTTTACAAACATCTTAAATGCAATCAAAATTCAAAGAACAATTTGAAAAAGATATTTAAAATTCAATTTGGAATAGTTTCGAACAGTCTCTTATTCTTCGGATTATCTTAACTATGATTAAAAAATCAAAAAAGTATGCGGAGCAAATTCATTTTATTAAACATAAGCTTCATGTCGACTGCTTTTTAGCTAAAATTAAAATCATGTACTTCATTTCTTTTTAGCTTTTCACACTTTTTTGTTGGTTGGAGTCTCTTCCCTGTTATCTTGTCAACTGCTCATGCTTAAACAACGATACAAGTGAAGTTAAAGCACTATTTGATTAGCATTTTTGGAAGTATTTTTATTGTATGTGAACTAATTTCGCTTATATATATACATATATATTTAAAAACCAATCAAACAAATAATTTACTTGAGATGGCTATCTAATTCAACTAGAACAAGAAGTACTAAATATTACCAAAAACACTTGGAATAATTATTTGCCCCAACTTACAAAATGGGAGGTCCCACCACAAGTATTAGTTGCTTCATGTGAATATCACTAAACATAAATTGGAATAGTTAATCATAAGTTTCGAACATCTAAATGCAATGAAAATATAGTTCCAAAATACATTTGTTTAAATTGCTAACGAACTAAGCATTTTTACAAACATCTTAAATGCAATCAAAATTCAAATAACATAATTAGTCCTATAATTTTAATGCCAAAATTTCTTATAAAATATTTTGCAACAACTCACGAACAAGTCATGGAAGCAGCAATATGGTTACAAAATACAATATTAATAAGTGTAAAAATGGATTATTTCATTAAGAATGTCAACTGAGATATAGAAATAGCAAAATAGAACAAAATCGTTACTAAGACTTGCTTCAGTACAAATTTCGAATCAGTGTGAGCCAAGAGATTGGAATAGAAATCCAGATAGAACAAATAGGGTAAAAATCAGAGAGTATAGTTTTAGAAGGGGGATGATTTTAGAAATATCCAAAGAGAGTAAAAAATGGGGAAGAGAAGAGTTTTAGAAGAGAGTTTAGGGTTTCAGAGTAATTAGAGGGAGGCATACCTTGTTGATTACTCTTCAAAAAAAAAAAAACTTTTGTTTTCTTAAAAACCAAACGGAGGCTCACTGGGATGGATTAGGGTTTTAAATCGAACAACCACTTAGAACCCGCAGTCAGTCGAGCCAGACGAAGAGAGACGAATGAGTGTAGTAGAGAGAGAAGAGAGCAAAAGGAGTAGGGGAAGAGATCACGCGAAGAAGGGAGTAGCAGAGGGAGAGGGAGCAAGAGAGGCGAAAGAGTGACAGTAGAGAGAGAGAGAGAATACGTTAATATTGGAGATGGTCAACCGGTTGCTCTGGTGTCCAATTTTTCAAAATTAAAGAATTCAATGGTCAGGATGTATTGTGTAATCCAATGGCCAATAATTGTCACCATCTTTGTGTGTGTCTCTTTATTGAAATTGTGACTGTAAATCTTACTTGGCTACAGTTTTGTATTTTGATACAAGGTATATTGAATGTATATCATGTTTTTTTTGTTGTGCATTCTTCTGATGTTAAATTTTGTTTTTGTTTTTTTTTTTTTGTGTAAACATATACTTTTTCTCATGTTGATGTCTTCATGCTTTGTCCCCTTAAAAAAAACTTGTTTCTTAGTCACATTTTTGGTGCCTCTTTATTTTTTATTTTTTATATTTTTTTTCCTTCTCATATCTGCATTTGTTTATAAACCAGTAATCAGGTTTCTCGCAGATGGGAAGAGGGGGAGTAGTAAGTGTTGGAAGTTGTTTTTAAGTATGATCCCCTGTCTTTCCCTTAGAAGTGCTTATTAGTTGGGTTTTGGTTCACAAATTTTTCTTAAAGGTGGCTATTAGTTGGGTTTACAAATCAAGTTATGAATTGGCTGATTCATTATTGAGCCATAAATTTGTTATTGTTTTGCTTGATTATCGAAATACATTGCTTTTAAATCAAATATCAATTTTCTAATTTATTTTACTTATTTTAATTTTTGTTGCATTTTTTTCATTCTCAAAAGTGGTAGAGAGAAGAAGTAACCCAATATCTAGCTTTGTATTGCACTGTAAAGGTACGTTAGTTGTTTTGCTTATATTTTAGAACATTATCTTTTTTAATTGCTTTTAAGCTCTGACATTGCTCTATGTTTTTTTCATTGTATTGGTTCAATTGCATTGATCAATTGGATGTTGGATAATGCGAAAGACCAAGAAATTTGGCAGCTTACTATGGGATGTAATCTTCTAGGGATGTAAGAAAATTGGTAGCTTACCTTTTTTTGCTCTAAATAGTTTGAATGCTCTCGATTGAATCTTATTAGATGTGAAGTTATAAAATATTTTGGATTGATTATGAAAAAATGTTGTGTTGATGTCCATTTTAAGTTTTATGCTTTTGTTATTTGAGCACAACCCTTGAATAATATTTTTTATAAGGGGTACAGTAAATGATCATCTCTAAACAAATTGTCTTCATTGTTCAAAGTACTCTATAGACAACTTCTTTGGTACCCAAAAGCATTATTGAAGTGGACTTCTTTGGTATGTTGTACGAGATTTTGCTTAGGATGGTAAAACTTTGATACGAAAGTTCCCGTCACGAATCGGGCGGAGATCCTCTTCATTTCATTTTTGTAATGGAAAGTCTCTATTATATCATTTAAGAATTGTGAATTCTCTATTATATCATTTAAGAATTGTGAAATAATTTTGTCAACAGGAGAAATATTTTCGTAAATGTTTGAAAGGGCCTACCTAAGCACAAGAGGGATAGAACAACTGAAACAAAGGATTAATTGTACCATGCCCTTTAAGAGATATGGTAAATCCTGTGGTATGCACCCCCAACAGAAAAATGTGCAATTTTATCAAAAAATTTCGTAATATTAATTATAAAATATGTAATCTCACCATAAATTTGTGTTATAAAATGTCCAAAATTTTGTTGTTGATATTGCAAAAATTTGTGATTTGATAATGAAATTTTTGTTATACCAATTTGTGGCGAGATTATATATTTTACAGTTGATGTTATGAAATTTTGTAGTAGGATACATACACATAATATTTCAAGTGCATGTGCATGCGATGCAAGGTAGAATAATGAGATGTATGCAAGGTAGAATAATGAGATGAAACTCAAATACAAAGATTAACAACAAATTTCATAAAAGAGATGCTCAAGACTCACTACCATTATTTATAGGGGAACAAGCCACAATACAATAGGAGATGAGCTAAGGCAATACTCACTAATCAAGCCTAAATCAAAATAATATGAAAATTACCAAAAGTAGAAAGATTTGGGTTAATCTCAAATCTAGAAACTAGAATAAAAATTACATATTTTGGGAAAAACCTAACTTCAAACGGATTCGTTTACACCAAGTAATTAATGAATCAATTATTTTCAAAAACAGTGAAATCGCGAAATTGGAGACCTAAATATTAGAATTCGACCGAAATCCATCGTACGCCATAGCAAATAGATGGATATTGATTGTGATGTCATTTTCAATGTTTCAACTGAATTTTACGTCATTCCGAGCATGTACTAACTCACATCTACTAGTGCCTTTTGCCTTTGCTATGTTTGTCCATGTGAAGGAGTTGCTTTCTGATCTTGTTCAGCTTGACAAGAACCTTTTTAATGTCACTCCTCTCCACAGGTATATCACTAGTGCACTCTAAACCCAACTCTAAAATAGCAAGAAGAATGCTTTTTAAGGTAACCACGTCACTGTCATTTTGCATCCTCAATAAACCACCATTCACTATTTCCATAATTTTGTTGGGAAGTGATGCGCTCACCCATTGCCTTAAATTGATCTCTGCACAGAACATTTTATCTGTGGGTTTCTTTTTTGTGAATGTTTCCAAAAGCATCACACCATAGCTATATATATCACCATTTGTTGAGACTCGTCCTTCAGAGCCATACTCTGTATAAAATATGAAAATTGGTATATATATCACTGATCTATATTACCATTTTATATTACCATCTATATGGATACTAATTGACTTCCTTGTTTGAAGATGATTATGAAAAAAATTAATGAAAACAACTAATATCTTGGCAAGTATCCTGGTTATACAAAATGGTGAAAAAAATAGATGATATGTAGCAATTTAAGGAGGTAGCTCAATTAGGCAAAATATTTTATTTCAAAATTGGTTAAATTGATGGATAACACACACACCTATGATCCATAAAATATGCATTTTGTGTCACTTTAATATACCAAATTTGAATTTTTGTCGATAAAGTTTTTAAATTTGAGTCAAACTTCTCCAATTTCACCCAACGGTCTAAACATTAACAAAATAATAATATAAATTCATCTATGGTATCAACAGTATGTGTGTCATATTACTTGAATCTCTAAAGTTTTAAATTTACCAAATTTATCCAATAGCATTGTAAGGCTATGCTTTGTCTTCTTAATTAGTGTTTAGTGACCAAAGCAACAAAATTGAAGACTTCTGGAAAATAAGTGACATGAAACACACTTCGAGGATTATAATTGTAGTCATTACTATTTTAATGATTTAAACAATCCCTTTGAAATTAAACCAATTTGTTTCAAATTGAAAATTTTAGGAATAAAATTGACAAAATTAAAACTCGGGCGATGAAAATAACATGACAAGGCATATATTTTAGGAACTTAGTGTATTTTATTCTAAAATGATTTATTGCCTCGTATTTTCTTCTTTTTTTTCTTTCTGGATAATCCTTTAACATAGTAATCTAATTAATCTAGTAATTAGTGTCAATATTAGGCATGTGATTCAACATTAAAGTTGCATTGAAAAGCCTAATATATATATATATATATATATATTTTAACATGATGATATGGATAAAGCTAGCTAGGGTTTTAAAATCGATTTTGTCTTTCATACAAAATAAAAATTTATTTTATCAACAAATATTATTAAAAGAAAAAAATTGCGTGAAAATTGATTTATTTTAACTTTATTTATTCAAAAATTCAAAAAAAATACATATAAATTATTTATACATTTATTTTTCATATCTAACCAATAAGTTAAATAATAAAAATTTGAATATATACATATAATGTAAGGGAAAATTACTTGGAAGTCTATTTTAAAAGAAGAAGAAAATCTTATTTAAGGCCACAACTTTTTGGCATACTCTCAAAAGTCCACTGTATATTTTTATTCTTTATTCTTCTTTGTGCATTTGTTCTCTGTTTCTTTCTACATTTCCAATGACTGGCAACCCCGCCTTACTTTCTATCTCTTTCTCTTTCTTAACAATAATCATTTAGCGATCGACGACGCACCATTGATTGGGGATCATCGCAACCCCCGACCACTGATCCTACTTCACCCTCCACCTACAGTGAAGAGAAGACAACATTTTCGGTTTGAAAGGAAGAATGGAGCAGATCTAATTTAAATCTTCATGTAGATCTACTTAGATCTGCATCAGATCTGATTCGAATATATCATTAGAGATGAGACCACTAAGAACTCTTTGCTTATACGCATCTGGAATGGTTTATCCTTTTATTTGCTGGCACCACCTGAAGGATAATCGACGGATTCTGAGCATCTCCGTATATATTACTGGCATATCGGAGAAAGCAAGAAACGCTATGAGTGTTCGCTAAATCAGCCCTTTGATGCTACTTCAGCTCTCGCTCGATATCCTAGAGCTGACCTTCTCTTGCCTGATCGCCATAGATTCGCACTGCCTTTTACACCCTTCACTGCTCAACGTATGCGCCCAACCCGAGAGCCTCTTCGTACCTCACTCAACCGCGGTCTGCCCGCATCAGCCGTCCCGGCTCAATTGCATCTCCCATATGGAAGAGAGAGTGAACTTCCGCGAGATCCTCATCAACTCGAATGCACGTATGTCCTTTATCAGTAAGGTGTAGTGCCAGTCTTAGCTGTTAGTATCGTCCCGGAGAACCGTGCATTAACGCCCTTCGTGGAGCAGACTGCTACTTAAACTTATTCGTTAGAAGGCTCTACTTCAGAATCTACATCCCAAGCTATATCTGGCAGGCCTAGCTCTCGCATATTAGAGGAACCGGACCTAAGATCAAACCTAAAAAATAGACGCAAATGCTTTTCCGCAGATTACAATCGTCTTTTATAATATCTCGGGTCCCTCTTGTCGAATCCGTCTCAATTTTTTTCCTACCCTTTCCTCTTCACTCATTACACCTTATTATTTTCCCCTCTCTCCATCCTGTCTCTGCAGCGCCCGTATGGGGAAGGAAAATTTTCAAACTTTCTAAACAAATTTTTTTCGTGAGTTTTAGAATTACAGGTGAACGCGTTGAATATGTTCAAAATTTTACAATTTTCAGTTTTTTTCTTTCAGTCTGTCCAAATATAAATCGATTGCCTTCTAAAACTGTTAAAAATTTGCGTTCCATCAACAATGTTATAACCACGGGTCTTATCCCCCACGCTAGTCAACTAGAAATTACCTCAGAAATTTACAATTTCATACATGTTTTTCCAATTTGCATTTAATAAGTGCAAATGCATTTCAAACTGAAACATGTGTGCCATCGCCTGCTGACACCTATATATTACGGCTATAGATTTATCTCCCTCTCTCATATACACCTAGCGTCTACTCATCCCGTCTGAGCATCTGCATTCCTCGCGCCTTGACCCTTCCTGTTGAGAAGCGCTCTCGTTCTACGCGTACACGCTCTGTTTATACTGCTTTTAGACATGCGATGCCACCTCAATTCAGTCATAATCTACTCGCAGTAGCTGCCTCATCTGCTACATTAAGCGGCGTGTACTAGGTGTGCATCAGATATCTCAATATAGAGACACAGATCCACTACTTGCTTGTGCAGATACCCTGCCATAATCTCTCTCTCCTCATCCTAGTATCTCTAATCGCTCATAGATCGGTGTGAACACCTACCGCGACAGTCACAATCTTCTATATATAAAGCTCTAGTCGGTACTCTCGTACTCACACGAACAACTATCTACATGAGATACTCTCTAATCGACGGTGATATAGAGCACGTATCTGTCAGAGCATCACACCTACTGATAATCCTAATCCTCGCCACTCTCCAACTCGTCCTGGATCCTTAGATATATAAAGATGAAATGTAGTATCTCCATCACAGCGTGCATCTCGCCCAGTCTAAAATAGGACTATCACAGTTATGGTGCTTATAGTAAATTTAAGGCTCTAGAGAGATCATCCATCCCAGCTACGCACTCAAGACGACAGGATGACCCACTCTGTGAATTATATAAAAGAAGATTGCTAATTCCAGCAACTATTTTTTTGCGTTTAATCTAGTCCGTTCTCATGCAGATCTACTCGAAGTCGATCAGTGATCGTAGCGATACAAGTGAATCTTAGACTGAATAATCCCATTGAGAGATTTAAGTAAAGATCGCTATCGGTAATACGTTCTCCAGCCCTTCTGCCTGATGTTGAAACTCTCCGCAAAGTTCTCATCCTACTCGCGCATAGCGAGTAGCAATCCAAAGGCTGACATTAGCGAACACTCATACTTCTTTTGCTTTCTCGATATCAGTAATTAAGGATCTCTCTTCCTTCAGGTGGTGCAAGCAATAAAAGGAATACCATTCAATCAAGTAAAGGAAGAGTTCTTCCCTTAATGATATATATTCGAATCAGATCTGATGCAGATCTAAGTAGATCTACAAGATTTAAATAGATCTGCTCATCTTTCTTCACGCGAAAATTTGTCTCCTTCACTGTGAGTGTGAGGGTGAAGTAAGGCAATAGTGGTCGGTGGTTGCCGATGAATCCCAATCAATGGTGGTCGTCGATCGCTAATTGATTATGTGTAGAAGAGAAGAGAGAAGTAAGGCGGATTGCCAGTCATTGGAAATGAATAGAAAGAAACAGAGAAGAACAAATGCACAAAGAAGAATAAAGAATAAAAATATACAGTGGACTTTTGAGAGTATCCAAAATTGTGGCCTAAATAGATTTCTCTTCTTTTAAATAGGATTCCCAAGTAGTAATTGCCTTACATTATATGTATATATTCAAATTTATTATTATTTAACTTTATTGTTAGATATGAAAAATAAATGTATAAATAATTTATATAATTTTTATTTGAATTTTTGAATAAATAAATTTAAAATAAAATCAATTTCAACCAATTTTTTTCTTTAAATAATATTTGTTATAAAATAAATTTTTATTTTGTATGAAAGACAAAATCGATTTTAAACCCTAGCTAGCTTTACCATATCATCATGTTAAAATATATATAATATATTATATATATTTTAAAATAAGGATAACTTTTTTGATTTTTTAATATAATTTTCATTTTGTGAAAATAAAAAATGGGACAATTACCAAAAAAAAAAAAAACTCCAATATTTGACCCTCTATATCCAAAATAAACGCCAAACTTTTAATTTTGCCAATTTAAACCCTAAATTTTTGATTTAATCTAAACATTTACCAATTTTTATTAAGTAAAATCAACAAAAAAAAAAAAATGATATTTTAGTCGCTAAATTCAATAAAAATGATATTTTTATATAATATATTATTATTGAGGTTAATAAGTAAAATAATTTTTTTTCATTAATTTTACTTAACAAATCAAAATATTAGAATTAAATTAAAAAAATTAAAAATTTGTGATTTATTTTGTTAAAATGCTGAAAACCTTAGTTTTTTTTTCGTTACTGTTTTTTTTTTTCCTTTCATTTTAATAGTCCATTTTGAAAAATTCTAACTTTTTTAGCAGACATATAATCATTACATTTAAATTTAAATTTTAATACACTTAATAATACCTTTCACATTATAATTTTAGGAATTTAAATATTTGTATTTTAATTTTTCAAATAGAACTAATATTTTTAGAACATCTTAAAATGAAAAAAATGCTATATGAAAATGTTACAATATACAAGTATACCCACTATTTTTTATTATAAAAAAAAAAAAAAATGCGAAGATGCATGACTACTTTTAGTTAAAAGGTAATGATAAAGACCACTAAAAATAGTGTTCTAAAGTAATCATTAATAATGTGACATATACTTTTAAAAAAAAAAAAAATAGACACAGTAACACTGTAACAAGCAGGTCTCACCGCACACAACATTAATGGTCGCACTACTCAGTACTCCCACCCATTTTTCTTAGGTAAAATTCGCACATGCGGCGAAAATGAACGTTTTTGACAAAAACCCTAGAGAACAGTTTTGGATTTCCATCACATGTCGAAACATTGAAATAGTTTTCTTCTGCGATCACTGAAGAAGAAATCGAAATTTAGCGAGAGAGAGAGAGAGAGAGAGTGGAGAAGTCTGTGGTGACCTTTGACAAAGGGCACGACCTGCTCTTCATGGAACTACTGTGGCGAGAGATTGGCTACCTGGTTCAATCGATGGAACTTTGGCCATTTTTCGACTCAGTCGCCCGGCTTCTTCGTCATTCACTTGCACTTCTACATCCAGGGTTCGTGTTTCGTAAGCTTCGTTCTTTGTTAAAATTTTCAATTTGTGTGTGTATATATATGGTGTTTGATTGTGATATAATCTGCAATCCTTTTAGTCTGAATTGAATTCGAAGTTTGAATAATTGGATTCCATAGGGTTTTATATGGCATTTCTAGTTTGAGAATGGGTAATAAATGGTGATGATGCTGAGGATTTTTTATAAACAAAGGCGATAAAGATCAGATAGGGAAGAGCATGCTGTCATTTATTGCATTATACACTGTTAAATTATTTTACATGAAACTGTATGGTGGACCCAGAAATGTGCCCGCGGGGGGGGTGGGGG